TGTTGCTGTATGTAGGTTTTATTTATTTTTTATCTTATATTTTGGAAATGTACATCCAGTTTTTTTTCTTTAAATTTTTTTGGGGTGCCCCAAGAGAGTGGGGCCCTAAGCTATAGCTTGCTTGGCTTATACGTAAATCCGGCACCGCCTGCAGACATCTCCTAGCAAACTTTCTGCCACACCACCCAGAATATTCAAGCTTTCCAAGTTCCTCGGCTTCCCTCCCCTCATTCCGTCCATTAGCTTCCCTAGGAAGAAACCAGAGGTCTGCAAAGCACAATTGCCCTCAGTTGAGGCTGTTTGTTGCAGCTGCCTTGATCTCCGGCCTGAATTCAGCCTGCGGGCACTTTGAAAGGCCAACCAGAAAGGACAGGCGAGGGTGCCATTACAGAGCACCGAACACTCGGGGAAGCTAAAATGCCTCAGATTCATTTTCCTGAGAAAAATGAGAGCATTATCCCAGCCGCCTAAGTGGTTAGCAAGGGGTCCTTCACTGGTGGCATTTTTATCACCAAGAATCTGTCACAAGAGCGCCTGGACTAAAATTGTCTATCAAAAACTTCACTCTTGTGGTTTATCACCACAGCAGCTACTCGCTTTGGGTTTTAGTAAATCGGGTCCTCCCTTAAAGAGGGCACGTATTGTGGTGAGACCTGGAAAACCAACACCCTGTGTTGTGGGTGCGCACGATTGGTCAGCCACAACACCCGATTGGTAGGTTCCTCGAAGCTGGGTGCAATCTGGCCAATGGTACGCAGTCCAAATGGTTCGAGGGACCTATTTATGCCCATGCACGTGACCCAGAGCTTCCTCTTTCAGTGCTTGCATTCGGAACACCCGCCCACCTCTCCCTAATTTTAGGGCTTTGCGCTTGACCTTGCTATGCCATCGTGTGTCATTGGGACAGGGGCATGGCAGGAATTTCCCCCACTTGGCTGATTGGCTGTTGCCATTTGGGTTTCGCCTTCCGCGTAGCAAATCGTCACAACTTGTAAGGTTGCGGATAGGCTCTGGTTCAGGTGATAGGGATGGGAGAACGCTCTCGCCATCCTTATGTGAAGGGTATTCTGTTAAAAGAATCCAGGGACTCGATGGTTTGGTCAACCCCTGAGAGGGAGTTGTGCCCGTGCCTGAGTCCAGGGGGACATTTGGGTGGCGGAGTTAGCCCATTCCGAGCTTTCCGCTTATCCAGGTGTTCACCCATGACTGACCTATGCTGGAACCCTGGGTCAGCGCTACCTGCAAGGCAGGGAGCAAGTCAAACCAGAGCCTATGCAACCAGTTACTGTACTTTCTGTAATCAATAAAGTTGTGGCTTAAATTCTGCCAAAAACCAAAACCAAAATTTGAGACAGGTGTGAATTTATTTAGGGGGGAGGTTTCTGGGTCTGAACACGCAAAGCAAATAGTCTAATTTGTCAGCGCCTAAATGATATCGAGCATCAGAACAACTTGGCCACAATAAGGAAATTTTGCCCATGGTATGACTATTTTCCACCTTCCCATTTTGACTCTCTGGCACCTTATCTGCATAACCTAGCAATTCTAAAATACAGACATACTTTTACTCTTGCAAAATTGAATGTATTGCCCTCGGCTGTATTTGAGGGGCGATTCCGACAGATTCCACATGAAAACACTCATGTCCATAGGCGCCGACTCCATGGGGCTTGAGGGGACCCGAGCCCCCTCAAAAATTCGTTTGGGGGGGCTCCGCCCCCCCAATAATCTCCGGCGCCCCTCCAGCAGAGCGCCATCGCCGCCCCTCCCCCAGCCCAAAATGCACAGGGTCGGGCTGCATGCCTCCTGCCCTCCCTCCCGAGCAAAAGCTCCACCCAATTTCCGCTCCGGAGCTGATTAATAGGCGCAGCACGCTCTCCCCTATTCGCTCACGAGGAGGCGGTGCCACTTTATTTGCATATTCATGAGCTTTCCCGGGCCCCCCCAATATTTTTTATAAGTCCGCGTCCCTGCTCATGTCCCTGTGAAGATGGCAATACTGAATCGGTGGCGCATGCCCTTCTGGCTTGCACTCTTTATAAAGACTTGAGGAGCGAGATTATCACCCTTCTTTTATTGTCCATTTCGGGTCGCCCAACCACTGCCACAGTGTCCTTTCTCTTGGCAGATCAAGATGAGCAGGTGACAGCAAAGGTTGCAAGGTTTTTAGCTGGGGCAATCAGAAAATGATCCACCATTTGACTCAATTTGATTCAAAACGCTAAAATGTATTTTATATATTTGACTTTTTATTTCTATTCTTTGTATATCATTTTGTTGTTTTATTGCTATGGCCGATGGCTGACGCAAATAAAGATTCATTCATTCATTCTGTCCACCAAAGCGAAGCAACCTAACAGATCACCACTGCAATCGGTTCTTATGGGAATCTATTGCCATCTTCAGCCCAGAAAAGGAACTGTCTTACATCTGCGATCAAACCAAGCAGCGCAGGGCATTTGTAGATCTGGGTGTATTTTGCATCTGCTTGCAAAAGTGTTTGGGTTATTTTTGTATCTGGATGATATTATAGGGTGTGTGTTTTTGGTATGCAAAAAGCCCTTTGCACATCTCATATTACTCGTTCTCTGAACTGTTTGACACTCGTTTCCATTCCACAGGCAAAACAAAGGTTGCAAAGGGGTGCTTTCCATATGAGAAATCCATAACTCAGGTTCATTGCTCTAGGCTACCATGAAACAGTTCAAGCAACAGACTGCAGAGGGGTGAGATTTTCCTGCCTCCGCTCTCTCAGATTACTGTAAAAGGGAGGGGAACTATACATGGTTCTTTCGCCACATTTGGCCACATGGGCTTAACTACAGCCACTTTTTGGTGTATATAAAATGGCTTGGTCAGGAGGACAGCTCAAAGGGACCAACAGGATGCCTTCAGAAGTTGGAAGGGTCAGATAACTCCATACCCTCCAACATTTCTTCCAATGAAAACAGGGAAATCCTAAGGAAAGGCAGGACATTCTGGGATCAAATCAGAAACTGGGACGGCTTCTCCAAATCAGGGACGTCCCTGGAAAATAAGGACACATGGAGGGTCTGTAAATACTGGTGGGTGATGCCCTGGTCCACAGCCTTTGTGGGCTATTTTTCCTTTCCTCTCATCTGACTCTGCTCTGTGAGACTTGTTACACACCCTCCAACATTTCTCTGCTGAAAATAGGGACGTCCTATTCCATGATAATAATAATTTTATTATTTGTACCCCGCCCATCTGACTGGGTTGCCTCAGCCACGCTGAGTGGCTTCCAACATATATAAAAACATAATAAAACATTAAACATTAAATAGCTTCGCACTACAGGACTGCCTTCAGATGTCTTCTAAAGGTTGTATAGTTGTATAGTTACTTATCTCCTTGGCTCAGGGGTCACATAACTCCATACCCCTCCAACATTTCTCCGATGAAAATAGGGACGTCCTAAGGAAATAGGGACGTCCTATTGAGAAGTGGGACGTTTCAGGATCAAATCAGATTTACAGCTTCTGTAAATCCGAGACTGTCTATGGAAAACAGGGACACTTAGAAGTCTTTTGCTAGCTGTTTTCTTTTACTGCTGGCTGAGCACAGCCAAGGGGAGCAAGATAGAGACAACTTTAGGCCCAAAACACCCTGGTGGGCTATGAGGTTTATTATTTCCCTCCTTCCTTTAGGAATTTTTTTTTTATTACTTTTTTATTCAAAATTAAAACAAAACATATTATCCAGAAACATATCATGCTTATTTTCCCCCTTTTTTCCCTCCCCCTCCCCCACAGAACCCCCCCCACCCCCCGACTTCCCTCAGTTCCAGTCTTTGATTTCTCTAAAAATGCTGTTTTCTGCATGTTACACAGTTGTATAGAACCTCAAGCTATTTAAGTAATAATTATCAATAAAAAGTTTGTGAATGTTTATTCAAAACTGGCCAAGGAGTCCAGTTCACTTTGTTGCGTCTTCAAATACTTTGTAAAGGGTTCCCATTCATCTTTAAAGTCACAGTTATCCTTGTCCCGTAGCTTGTATGTCAGTTTTGCCAGTTCTGCATAGTCCATCAATTTTTCTTGCCATGATTCTTTAGTTGGGGTTTCTTCAGTCTTCCATCCTTGTGCTATTAAAACTCTTGCGGCCGTTGTCGCATACATGAAGATGTTTTCCATCCTTTAGGAATTCTTACGACATCACTGAAGAAAATCTGGAAAGGGGAGTTTTTGCTACCCCTCTGGGGCCTTGGAAGCCACAATGCTCAATTAAAACACATTTATGTATGTCAGATTCTAGATAATTCATGGAGGGACACTGACACAAAATGTGAGCTGTTGCCTAGTCTATGTCCCTCTCAGTCACTGTGTTCCTGTGTTCACTGTTTTCTGAAACATAGTCCTGGCTCCATTCCACAGACTGGACACTGTGAAGTCTTATGGTAGTAACCAAATACAGTGGTACCTCGGGTTACATACGCTTCAGGTTACATACTCCGCTAACCCAGAAATAGTGCTTCAGGTTAAGAACTTTGCTTCAGGATAAGAACAGAAATCGGGCTCCAGCGGCGCAGCAGCAGCAGCAGGAGGCCCCATTAGCTAAAGTGGTGCTTCAGGTTAAGAACAGTTTCAGGTTAAGAACGGACCTCCGGAACGAATTAAGTACTTAACCTGAGGTACCACTGTAGCTAACAACAAGAACGCAACAACAACAAACCAGGCAAATCCCTTCTTCAATAAAAGTAGAGAAGAATGGACTCGGGAGAACAGGATGGGGATGACTGGGGAATTCATCCCTGTCCACCAACTTCAACCAATGAAAGTTCTTGGCTGCTCTCATTGGCCTAAACCAGGGGTCAGCAACCTTTTTCAGCCATGGGCTGGTCCACCATCCCTCAGACCATGTGGTGGGCCAGACTATATTGGGGTTGCGGGGGAAATGAACAAATTCCTATGCCCCACAAATAACCCAGAGATGCATTTTAAATAAAAGGACACATTCTACTCATGTAAAAACACGCTGGACCATCCATGGACCGGATTGAGAAGGCGATTGGGCCGCATCCGGCTCACGGGCCTTAGGTTGCCTACCCCTGGCCTAAACCAAAGCTGGGAGGTTTATTCTACAAGTTGCCTCCAGGTGTCTCTGCAGCAAACACTAGAATCATAGAGAAGCAGAAAGAGCCCGTTCTTGCTGTTGCTGTCTCCGCTGTAGGCTGTCACAACTGGGGCGGAAGGATGGGAGCCATGTCAGATGTGGTTTCCTCAGCCAAGATCTCCTGCTCTTCTGGGCTTTCTTTGACAGAAAGAATGATGTTCACCACCTTCTCTTCAAAGTGCACCTGCCTCCTTGTGGCGGTGAGCTCGAAGAGGCCTCCACGGTATCCAGCTTCTTGCAGCTTTTGAAGAAGCTCCTCAGAAACCCAAGAAGGGAGTTGCGTTGCCCTCGAGGTGCTCCCCTGGGGAAGGTGTAGGTTTGCTCAGTGTCGCCTGCATCCGTCATAGCTACAGCTGCGCTTTGGGAATCCGTGTATTGTTCTTCTCCAGGTGTTCTCGTTTCTTTCTGTTGCTTACTGAGCAGGAAGTAGGTGAAGCCGGTGACCACCAGCATCGTGCCTGAAGAGAGTGAGGAAAGAGACAGAGAGAGAGGTCTAGGGGTCTTGGTGGACCTCAAGCTGAACATGAGTCAACAGTGTGAGGAGAAAAAAGATAATGCTATTCTAGGCTTCATCAATCCAGATCAAGGGAAATAATGGTACCACTCTGTTCTGCCTTGGTCAAATCACACCTGGAATCCTGTGTCCAATTTTGAGCACCACAGTTTAAGAAGGATGTTGACAAGCTGGAACGTGTGCAGACAAGGACAACTAAGATGATCAAGGGTCTGGAAACCAAGCCTTATGAGGAATGGTTGAAGGAGCTAGGAATGTTTATCCTGTAAAAGAGGAGATTCCTGCAATCCATCAATGACAGATAGCCATCCAACCTCTGCTTAAAAACCTCCAAGGAAGGGGAGTCCACAGTGTCCCAAGGGAGACCGTTGCACTGTCAAACAGCTCTTACTGTCCGAAAGTTTTTCCTGATGTTTAGTAAGAATCTCCTTTCCTGGGGGAATTTCTTGCATATGTGGTGGACTTGCTCCAAGATTAAAGCCTTTTGGGATACTATATATAATGAATTGAAAAAGATATTTAAGTATAATTTCAGCAAAAAACCCAGAGGCTTTCCTGTTGGGGTTAATTGAGGAAATTCAAATGAACGATGTAAATTTGTTCATGTATGCAACAACGGCTGCAAGAATACTCCTGGCCCAGAAATGGAAGCAACAAGAACTCCCCACATTGGAAGATTGGCAAGTAAAGATGGTCGAATATGTGGAGCTGGCGAAGCTGATGGGGAAGATTCGGAATTGCCGTGATGATTTGTTTCAAAAGGACTGGGGCAAATTTATACTCTATATGAAAGAAAATTGTAAACAGTTGAATAAGTTTGTAGATTTAAGTTGAAATGTTTGGTAATGGGAAATTAAGGAGCTGATTTACTTATAAGTAGGTATTGTTAAAAGATTGATTTAAGGTAAAAAAGTGAATTTAGGAATGTGGAGAAATTGGTAATGAGATATGGAAGTCTGTTAGAGGGAAGGAAGGAGGTCGATGCTTTATTTAAGCAATGTTTTAAGTCATGAATTATTGTTTTTTATTCTTTGATATTGAAATGTAATAAAATATGGAAAACTTAATAAAACTAATATTTTAAAAAAAGAATCTCCTTTCCTGTATCCTGAAGCCATTGAATTCAAGTCCGACCCTCCAGAGAAAACAAGCTGGCTCCATCTTCCATGTGACAGCCCTTGAGATATTTGAAGATGGCTATCATATCTCCTCTTTTCCAGGCTAAACAACCCCAGTTCCTACTAGTATACCACACCATACTCAAACCAGTACAGTACACTATATCATAGCTTATATGGCATGGAAGTTAAGGCAGCTGCTTTCATTCATCAGCTTGCAACATCCATGCTTTTCGGTGAATCCTTTATGTTAAGTTGTGAGTGAACATATCAGACGACACAGCGATTCTTCAAACAGCTCTTGTTTATTCACAGGCCAGAACAGAACTGAACTGAAGGGCTAAGTCAGCCTGCTTATATAGAGCTCCAGTACAACGTTACTGTAACAACTTTCTAAAACTATCCAATCACTGAATGTCACTTTCGATCCCTTATTTGCATAGCTATCTGCTGGCCCAGGGTGAGAACTTCAGTACATAACACTTTATATTGCTTTTTTGAATCCTAAAATAATTTTTTGATTACAGCTACTGTTTACTGTATTTGCAAAAAATAAAAATAACCCCCCCCCATTCTACTGGTTATTCCCAGTCACCCTCTCACCCTCTCACCTGGGATAGTGACGTGCCAAACTATGACAGGGTGCAGGAAGCAGGCTACTGAGAGCAAAACATACATCAGAAACTTCTGGAAGGCCCCCCGACGTCTGGCGTGCTTCCAGCAAGTGTGCATCCCAGATCCCGTCTTGGGGCTGCAGTGGAAGAATGAGAAGCTGGCTAAAGCAAAACATCAGTCACCCTCAAGGTGAACTCTCAAAAAGAGCTCAGAGTCCAGCTCAACCCAGAAGTGCTTCCCCAAGGTGAATTGTAGGAGGGAAGGAGGGTTGGGGTAAGGAACGGAAAGGGGCACTCACGTGCAGCAAGCGGTCAAGAGCAGGCCCACAAAGTATGCTGCTTCGCACAGGGACACGGCTATCCCTGAAACGCTGAAGAACAAATCATTAATAGGCGAGGAACAAAGAGCAAATGGCAACCCCCCCCCGCAGCGCTCAGTAATAATAGTAGTAGTAGTAATAATAATAAATTTTTATTTATACCCCGCCCTCCCCAGCCAAGGCCGGGCTCAAGGCGGCTAACAAGCAATAATAAAAACAAGTTGAATGAATACAACTTAAAAACAAGATTAAAATATTGAAACATTAAAATATTAAATGCAGCCTCATCACAGGAGGAGAAAGGAAAAAGAAAGAGGGGGAGGGAATCAAATTGGCTCCAAGCCAAAGGCCAGGCGGAACAACTCTGTCTTACAGGCCCTGTGGAAAGAAATCAGATCCCGCAGGGCCCTGGTCTCAAGAGACAGAGCGTTCCACCAGGCTGGAGCCAGTGTTGAAAAGGCCCTGGCTCTGGTTGAAGCTAATCTAACTTCCTTAGGGCCCGGGACCACTAGGGTGTTGCTATTTATGGACCTTGAGGCTCTCCGTGGGGCATACCGGGAGATGCGGTCCCGTAGGTACGAGGGTCCTAGGCCATGAACAGGGGAACATGCAGTGCTGTGCAGTGAAACTTTTCGTAGGGGAACAGCTTGCGAAGGGCAATTTGGGAGAGCGATGTCCTGATGTCGCATGTGCGAGCATCACGCCTCCCTCCCTAAGCTGGGCAGAAACTTCCCAGGCTTTGGGAAGGAGGCTCCAGGCCCCTGACAGGATGCTGAAGCCCTGTTGTCTCCTCCTCTAAGGAGCCTTGACATGACCATAGTGCAATATTCGGCATCCTGTTGTCAGGCTTCGGGGAATCGACTTCCTCCCCCATGGCAGTAAGCAAAAGATAAAATGAAAGGGACGTCTTACCAGTTAGAAACTTTAATAATCACAGTGAGAGAACAAAGAAATGGCAGTGCTCCCAATTAAGGGTTACTCCCCTCCTCTGTCCCTATTAATCTACGTCACTCCCACGTCTTGTAACCTGAGCTTGAACCCTCTGCGCTTTCTGTTCTAACACTTTCTGAGTTCTCCGTGTTCTTGGAGAAGGGAGTTGAATGCTGTCCAGAGACTGCGAATCTGTTAACTCTTTCTCTTCTAGTGTAGCTTCTGCTAATGGTTCCCCATCCAGTATTCCCCAGCTTCTGCCTTCTGAACTATGCCCCTCTGCAAACCACTGTTCCAAATCTATACTGCCCTCCTGCTCCTGAGAAGAAGCAGGAGCAGGGGGTGGCTCCCACCATTCCTCCTCAGTGCCGCCCTCCTCAGCACGGTCCCTGGCATCTGTATATGGTGTATGAAGTCAGGCCCAGGTTTGCAGATGTCCTTACATCGATCAGCACAAGCTTATTTAGGCGCTCTCTCAAATCCACGTTATTTCCCCCCAATCAGACAGCCATACTCACAGCAAATAGACAGCCAGGCTCTTGAACTGACCCAGGAGCAGTGTGTCTGTGCCAACGCCAATAAGCACTGAAACAAAACACAGATGAGAAGAAGAAATAACACTTGGGATCTGGGGGCATTGGGAGTCATTTCCCTCTGTTGTGCAATGCCCTCCAAAGATAAACAACTCCATGTCAGCCCCCCAGAGGGGCAGCCATTCCTGCTTTGCCAGTGGTGGTTTCCGGCAAAATCTTGCAGAGCGCATATGACCCCCACAATATTTCAGTGAGCTCTCAAGATTTTAGCGAGATCTTTCGGCATGCAAAAGATCTTGTGAATCTGGGATCTTTGACCCGGAAACGACAACTAATCCAGAATGCAGCAGCTGGACTGGTGACTGGGAGTGGCCGCCGAGACCATATAACACTGGTCCTGAAAGACCTACATTGGCTCCCAGTGCGTTTCCAAGCGCAATTCAAAGTGTTGGTGCTGACCTTTAAAGCCCTAAACAACCTCTGCCCAGTATACCTGAAGGAGCATCTATATGTCCATCATTGAGCCCGGACACTGAGGTCCAGCGCCGGGGTCCTTCTGGCAGTTCCCTCACTGCGAGAAGTAGGGTTACAGGGAACCAGCAGAGGGCCTTCTTGGTAGTGGCGCCCGCCCTGTGGAACACCCTCCCATCAGATGTCAGCCCATGATATCATGTGCTGTGTTCACCACCCTCTGTAAAGACTTTCTGTCCTTGGCTGTCAAGCCAACGTACCACACTGTGATACAATATGAGAGGACACTTTCTATTGTGGACCGGTAGAAGGACGTCATCAATTGTTGTTTAACATTGTTCTTTCGAAAGACACGGAGGAAATGGAGTCTCTGTTGGGCCTTCCTAACCACCTGACTTATATTGTTTTTCCAAGTGAGGTCTTCACAAAGGTAGACTCCCAGGAATTTAAAGGAAGAGACTCTCTCCACACAACCTCCCGATATACAATGGGGCTAGTTCCCCTCTCTTCCTCCAAAAGTCCAACACCATCTCCTTTTTCTTGCTAATATTTAGGTGCAAGTTATTCTCTAGGCACCATGTAGATACTTTTTGAACCTCCCCCTTGTACGCTGATTCATCTCCACCTGTAATTAGACCATTATGGTAGTATCATCTGCAAACTTAATAATTGCAGTAGATGGATCAGATGAAATACAGTCATATGTACAGGTAGGGACTCAGCACACATCCCTGGGGGGGGGGCGCCAGTGCTGAGCTTCAGGGAGGTAGATGTAACAGGCCCAATCCTCACTGTTTGTGTCCGATCCCTCAGAAAGTCTTTAATCCAGTCACCGATGGTAGAAGAAAGGTCTAGTTCCATCAGCTTTTTGATAAGAATGTCCGGAAGGATGTTCCAGTAAAGGATAGGGCTATCCACTGGGCCGCATCAACAAAAACCTGGTAACAGGACCACTCTCTTCTGCCTTGGTCACACCACACCTGGAATACTGCATCCAATTCTGGGCACCACAGTTTAAGAAGGATGTTAAAAAGCTGGATGTGTGCAGAGGAGGGCAACCAAGATGATCAAGGGTCTGGAAACCAAGCCTTATGAGGAACGGTTGAGGGAGATGGGTGTGTTTAGCCATGGGTGTTTAGAGGGTACTGAGAGGAGATATGATCATAGACATCTTCAAATATCTTCAAGGGCTGTGACATGGAAGATGGAGCAAGCTTGTTTTCTCCTGCTCTGGAGCGTAGGACCTGAACCAATAGCTTCAAGTTACAAGAAGGAGATTCCAAGTAAACATCAGGAAGAACTTTCTGACAGTAAGAGCTGTTAGGATCCCTTGGGGGAAATGGCGGGACAAGAGGAAGTCTGGATAAGCCCAGATAGAGAGAGAATACCTATCATGTATGTCAATGAATGGCAGTAACTACAGCATTCATGCCACCAAAAAGGCTCAGAGGAATTAGGCACCAAGCTTTGGCTTGGGTAGACCTGGTTCAGAAGGAAAGCATTAGCCCTTCCCAGGGATCTGAATTGTGACGCCTGGAACATTCCATTCCGATCTCCTTTCCTTTCATTCAGTGTTTAATCCCTAAACCAAGACTGGTCTCAACTAGCCATACAATGAAACAGCTCCGTGTGTCGGTGAGAGAAACCGGCACATTCCAATTACTCAGCAAGCCAAAGCGGGAACGAATCACACATTGTAGGGCAGAAACATTTGCTAGTTTGTGTACCGTGGCAAATGCCAGTGTAAAGATGGCAACATTACGCGTTTCCTTTTCTCGTGTCTGCAAATTTGCAGCGGATATGCACTAAGGAACAATAGCTAATTATGCATGTGCTTCCATTCGTTTTTACAAAGATACCCCTCCAGAGGGGAATCCTACTTTAAATGGAATTTATATGCAGAATTTGGCGCTTCCAACCCTATCAAGTTTTGCCTATGAATCCATCTCTCGCATTGAGTGCCTGCTTATGTCTGAGTTACTGGTTCGTGGTCAAATAAAGTTGTTGTTTTTCCTTAAACAGTCCAACTAATGATATGCAAAATATTACACATAATATATGTATAATACATACAGAAGAGTCAATATTTTTGCGTAAGTGGTGGGTTGTTGTTTTTTTACAGTTATGTGCACTGGTTACTTTAGGAAACCAGGAGTATTTAACACATAAAAATTCTACACGTAGTCATGCATATAATGTGATAACCTTTCATATTTTTAGAGGAACCGGTGAGAGGAAAATGGGAACCTGAAAAATTCTGTTGGCTAAGCGCCACGCAGTGCGGGAATTACGTATAAGCTAAACAAGCTATAGCTTAGGGCTCCAGTCTCTTGGGGGCGCCTGCTAGCCTGCTCCCTAAAATATCACAGTTCAACAATTACTTTGATAAAATACATATTTTGTTATGTGCAAATGGCTTTAGATACCTATTACAGTGGTACCTCAGGTTAAGTACTTAATTCGTTCCGGAGGTCCGTTCTTAACCTGAAACTGTTCTTAACCTGAAGCACCACTTTAGCTTATGGGGCCTCCCGCTGCTGCTGTGCCGCCGGAGCACGATTTCTGTTCTCATCCTGAAGCAAAGTTCTTAACCCGAGGTACCATTTCTGGGTTAGCGGAGTCTGTAACCTGAAGCGTCTGTAACCTGAAGCGTCTGTAACCCGAGGTACCACTGTTGGTCCATAAATTATCATATAGCATATATGATGCCCTGAACTTCTGAAGGTAATGGAGCCCTTTATATGTCCAGCTGTCATTTGTCAACAACAAATTGTCGGTGGTTTTTGTGTTGAATATATGCTATATGGTAATTTATGGACCTAATGGGTATCTAAAGCCATTTGCACATGCAGAATGTAGGCACCCTATATATTGAAATGAGCAAAACAGTGATATTTTAGGGAGCAGGCTAGCAGGCGGGGCCCATCACTTACATCATAGGAGCCTACACAACACAAGACACTGTTGCTGTATGTAGGTTTTGTTTTATTTCTTTTTTATCTTCTATTTTGGAAATGTACATCCAGATTTTTTTCCTTTAATTTTTTGGGGGGCCCCCAAGAGAGTGGGACCCTAAGCTATAGCTTGCTTAGCTTATACGTAAATGCGGCACTGTCTTCATAGCATATAAATGTCTTCATGAAATAGAAGTAACTGCAGTGTTTCTGCAGGAGTCCCTCCCAACACTACTGTGTGAGATCATCCCTTGAGGTGGAGATACTGGCGACTGAACCTGCATAGCTTATGCCTGCGTGGCACAAGATTTAGGTTCCTATGGAATCTTTCCTATTGCTAACAAATCTCCATGCAGCTTCTGAAAAGTCCAGTGAAAACACTTTTGAGCTGGAAAACTACAGACTCATTTAACGAACTGCAATTTACTTACTTGCATTGCTTACATCTATTCGGCTTTGCCGAATGCTTTCTTGTTCGTTTGTTTTAAATAATACAGTTGCAAGGATGGAACTCAAGATTCCACTCATGACTATTATTTGAACAAGATAGGGGGGGGAATTTACCCTGTTAGATTGCGACCTAGTAATGACTGCAGTGTAGGACTGTGATATGGTCTTTTGAAACACTGATATTGGAAACTGCTACATATAATTACTAAGAAATTCAGATGGAAGAGATTCGAGGAAGTCAATACTATGTTTATGAAGATGGATGGTACTTAATTTTAATTAATTAAGTGGTAATATGTTGTATGTATCTTTTTTCTTTTTTCTCATATTTTTTGTTTGTCTTTATTATTGTTAATCTCTTCTTTTTTATTATGTTTATCTACTGAAAATAATAAATATTATTGGGGGGGGAGTAATGACTGGTTTCTAGCTGTAATGGTATAAAAGAATATGAAAAAATGGTTTTTTATAAGTAAAAATTCAAGGTTATAAAAATTTAAGATTAAAGATCTGGGTAGAATAAAGAGGGAAAGAAACTGCTGAGCTAATAAATTGAATTGGAATACAAAAAAGGGAGGTACAAGGAGGTCCGAGAAACAAGTAAATGAAAAATAATGTGATGAAAAGATTGATTGTTTTTAACTATTTTTATTTTGTACTTTTTCTTTTTTCTTTTTCTATTTTGTAATGTAAAAATCTTAATAAAAAATTTATCAAAAAGAAAAAAGAAAGTAATGACTCCAGTGATCTGAAAGTATTTGCCACACGGTGCAGTCCTTTCCCCGACTTGTGGTTGCTGGGCAGGCAAGATCAGCCCGGCCCTGCCCAAGGCATTTTGCTGCCTGAGGCAAAGCAACGCAGGCCACTCCCACCAAGTCTAGTTCCAGGGTACCAAGGCTGGATCAAGTTGTTATGGCACCTGAGGCAGAAAAATCCTACAAGCATCTTTGAAGATGACTATCCTCTGAATTCTTCATACAGACCTCCCAGCCTGTCCCCCTCTACAAGAGTCTCATATCTGTCTGCTTAATTGCATGCAGTGCTTTTTTTCTGGGGGGTGCACAGGGGTACGCATACCCCTAAACATTTTGTGAATCTAAGGTTTGGCCTCATTGAGAGGCAGTATTTCAATATGTGTAGGAAAATGAGAGTACACCTAAACAATTTTTTAAAGGAAAAAAAGCACTGATTGCATGTTAAAAAAGGTAAAGGACCCCTGACAGTTAAGTCCAGTTGCAAATGACTCTGGGGTTGTGGTGCTCATCTCGCTTTACTGGCCGAAGGAGCCGACGTTTGTCCACAGACAGCTTCCGGGTCATGTGACCAGCATGACTAAGCCGATTCTGGCGAAACCAGAGCAGCATACGGAAACGCTGTTTACCTTCCCGCCAGGGTGGTACCTATTTATCTACCTGCACTTTGACTTGCTTTCAAACTGCTAGGTGGGCAGGAGCTGGGACCAAACAACGGGAACTCACCCCGTCGCAGGGATTCAAACCGCCGACCTTCTGATCGGCAAGCCCAAAGCTCAGTGGTTTACACCACAGCGCCACCTGCATCCCGATTGCATGTTAAAGGTAAAGGTAAAGGGACCCCTGACCATTAGGTCCAGTCGTGACCGACTCTGGGGTTGCAGCGCCGCTCATCTCACTTTATTGGCTGAGGGAGCCGGCGTACAGCTCCCGGGTCATGTGGCGAGCATGACTAAGCCCCTTCTGGCGAACCAGAGCAGCGCACGGAAACGCCTTTTACCTTCCCGCCAGGGTGGTACCTATTTATCTACTTGCACTTTGACGTGCTTTCGAGCTGCTAGGTTGGCAGGAGCTGGGACCGAACAACGGGAGCTCACCCCATCGTGGGGATTAGAACTGCCGACCTTCTGATCGGCAAGTCCAAGGCTCAGTGGTTTACACCATAGCGCCACCCGCGTCCCGATTGCATGTTATGTGTACATAATTCCTTATACCAAGAGAGAACGATGGAAGAAAGCATCTACCCTGGTACAGTACTGAAGAACAGAGGTGCTGTTAAGCTAAAATAAAAAATAAAAAAATTGTAGAGGTTGCATGGCCATCTCTCAGGGATTCTTTAGCAGTGATTCCTGCATTACAGGAGACTCGACTCGAGGACACTTGGTATCCCTTTCAATTTTACAATTCTGTGATTCTACAACCTCGAGCAGGAAAGAACAGGTGCAGATACTTGGAGACGAGCCAGGTTGTCATGTTGCTGCCCACTGCAACATATCTCAGTCAGCTTGAAGCAGCACAGCAACTTTCTGCAAAAAGTTGTTATTCTTAAGGACGGTTCGCCACCTCTGCCAACGTTCTCCTTTGATTTGAAAACAGATTGGTTTCTCCCCCCTACCCTCAACCACCCATGAATTCGCCGCAGAGAGTTACCAGCAAAAACTTCAGGACAGTGCTAGTTAAAAGATGGGCGTCTTGTCGGGTCTTCAAAACTCAGACAACTAATCTAGTTCATCCTTGCACACCTCCGTCGCCCTCACCTGGGGCAGGCTCTCGTACTGCATTTTGTGAAAGCCATATAAACTGGGGTTGGCGAGGGGATCCAAGTCAGATCAAATTTTAATCTGCCACAAGCAAATACCAGAAGGAACAAAGTGGTGAATACCATCTGGGAATTCACATTAACTGAGAAATTGACACAAAAGATACATTTGGCCAGGGGTAAAAAGGAGGGAGAGAAATAGATAATCGTCAGATTAGTGGCCTTTCATTATGTACACCAATAAGAAAGATGCTGTTAAACCGGTGCCATTGGTCTTTAAACATACAGTATATGGATTATGTCATTTAAATGCTATTTGTTCAAAGGTTACGGACTCTCAGGAAAAGAACTGTGGATCTATATGTACACTGCCCGAATTTATTGCTTATAGGTTTACTTTAATTCATTTTGTAACCTTGGGGAGGTTTCTGGTGTCAAAAGTAGCATGCCTATATAATAAAATAAAGTAAGAATGAATTTCAAAAATCAGAGTGGTATCCATGTCAGAAACGCAGGGCAGAAAATCACACCAACAGTACTTCTTACCTGCTCCAGTGGAGATTCCCAAAAGTCGGCAGGTATATTCCAGAGTATTCCAAAAAGCTGCTTGCTTCATGTTGGCTGGGCAAGAAGCGCTTTGAGCTTTTGGAAATTCTTGAGACAGACCTATGCTCTGACTTCCTGCACTGAGATGGAGTGAGCCTGGAGTCAGGGATCCCCGCCCTTCCCAAAGGAACATCATTCCAATGTGCTATACACAAAAAAGACCCCAAACAACACACCCTTTTTCCACGCAGAAGCAGTTAGCGCTGGTCCCGGCGGGACTGGGCTGTCCTTCTGGTGCTGCCATTGTCCTGCATCCTTCAGTGGGACAATTAATGATTGCCAGGCAGAGCAGAAACCTTAGCCAGTGCCTGAGGGCCACCTTCCCCTTGCTTCATGTCGGCGCATATCGAAGGCGAGCAAAAGTCTTGCTCCTGCACATTTGATGCAGATTAGTTGCCATGGGGCTTAAGGCTTTGCTAGCTGTTTTCAGAGCGTTCCGGCTCACTCCTGAGAGACCACGAGGGGTGCAATAGTTCTCACCTGAACAGCAGACATGTCCAAAATGGGATGCCACTTCGCTAAGTATCTGAAAACTCACAGGGTTCTTCGTGTTTCCTTTTACGAGACACTCCTCGTCCACATTGCAGCCATTTAGAGTGCTTCCCCTTTGGAGAAAACATTGAATTATTTATTCCCATTAAAAGCCAATGCACGCCTTATAATCAAGGAAATTCATTTCCAGATGCAGCAAATTTATCTGCAGTAAGCTGCCGAAGTCTAGGAAGCCTACTCGCATAATTAAGAAATAGTTCCTATTTAATCTCAAGCCTAGATTTGCCATTTCCCAATTAAGCAACATTTGGGTTAACTTTGTCTACTTTGCTATAGTACTAAATCTTCCCATCAAGTTCGGCTTCTAAATTCCTAGCAACATTGCAATTTAGCAACAGGAGCAGAAAGTCAAATCAGCTTCCAGCAGCACATTTTTCAAATAGCTCTTTCATAATCCAGATTAATTTAGCAAATGCCTGAATCCTGCTTTAATCCCGTCTATAGCACTGTTCTGTGCACCAGAAGCTCCTCAGTTCTAAATAATACATTCATATGATTGATGTTACAGACGGATCTCAAGAAAAGGTTCGTTCGCAAAAGGTGCTTCCGGACAGCGGCTATTTTGGGGTGGGATTCGATCATATACAGTGGTACCTCGGGTTACATACACTTCAGGTTACATACGCTTCAGGTTACACACTCCACCAATCCAGAAATAGTGCTTCAGGTTAAGAACTTTGCTTCAGGATGAGAACAGAAATCGGGCTCCGGCGGCGCGGCAGCAGCAGCAGGAGGCCCCATTAGCTAAAGTGGTGCTTCAGGTTAAAAACAGTTTCAGGTTAAGAACGGACCTCCAGAACGAATTAAGTACTTAAGCCGAGGTATCACTGTACCAGCAAACGTAAGTTTTGCAACTGAAGGTGGTTTGTTTGAACAACAAACCCATTCCCCCCCCCCACCCAGAAAAGCAGGCTACTTGTGAAAAGGAAGTCAGGGAAATGCACCGGAAAGTGTGCGATAACAATTGTGCCTCCCGTGGCATATAATGTGTCATTGTGTCTGGCAGTTAACCAGAAGGTTGGTGGTTCGAAGCCACCCAGGGGCAGCTGTGGGCAAGATTCCTGCACTGCAGGGGGTTGGACTAGAAGATCCTCAGGATCCCTTCCAACTCTAAGAGTCTATGATGCAATGTTGCATATCCACCCTGCAGGTCATTGATTGTGAATGTTCAGTCAATATCCGGCATTGTCTAGCCTCCGCACAAACTTTGTGGAACTAAATCAGAAAGAGGGCTCGATAAACACATCACTGGATGTGACTACGGATGTAAAGTGCTTGCTGTAAAGCATGGGTAGGCAAACTAAGGCCCCAGGTGCAGGATCCGGCCCAATCGCCTTCTAAATCCGGTCCGCAGATGGTCTGGGAATCAGCGTGTTTTTACATGAGTAGAATGTGTGCTTTTATTTAAAATGCATCTCTGGGTTATTTGTGGGGCATAGGAATTCATTTGTTCCCCCCCCCCAAATATAGTCCGGCCCCCCCCCACAAGGTCTGAGGGACAGTGGACTGGCCCCCTGCTGAAAAAGTTTGCAGACCCCTGCTGTAAAAGATAACGGTAAAGGACCCCTAGACAGTTAAGTCCAGTCAAAGGTGACTATGGGGTTGCAGTGCTCATCTCGCTTTCAGGCTGAGGGAGCTAGCGTTTGTCCACAGACAGCTTTCCGGGTCATGTGGCCAGCATGACTAGACCACTTCTGGTGCATGGAGATACCATTACAGAAACCAGAGCGCACGGAAACACCTTTTATCTTCCCACCGCAGCGGTACCTATTTATCTACTTGCACTGGTGTGCTTTCGAACTGCTAGGTTGGCAGGAGCTGGGACACAGCAACGAGAGCTCACTCTGTCGCACAGATTCGAACCGCCAACCTTCTGATCGGGAAGCCCAAGAGGCTCAGTGGTTTAGACCATGGCGCCACCCACTGTGTACAGCACACTTTTGTTCTGTGAACCGCCCTGAGACCTCCACGTATAGGGCAGAATATAAATTCAATTAACAGCAACAGCAACAGCAGCAGCGACAACAACAACGACAACTCAGTGTGCTTTACTCCCAGGAAAGGACTGCAGCCTTAGGCTCCTTACATTGCACAACATTGCCCTAGCTTGCAATTACTTCATCCAGGCTAATAATAATAATAATAATAATAATAATTTATACCCCCCAATCACCTGTTTTATTCCTATCAAAACATCTGGGGAAGGGCACTGGGGTCTAAAACACCTTAAGCAGAGGTTGGATGTCTATTTGTCATGGATGCTTCTGTGGACATTCCTGTATTGCAGGGGGTTGGACTAGAATCAGGCATCCCCAACCTTCAGCCCTCCAGATGTTTTGGACTACCATTCCCATCACCCCTGAGCACTGGTCCTGTTAGCTAGGGATCATGGAAGTTGTAGGCGAAAACATCTGGAGGGCTGAAGGTTGGGGGTGCCTGGACTAGATGACCCTTCCAACTAGGATCCAGCCTCGGAGTCATCTCTAGCGCGCAGAAAATGACCGAATCGCTCTCCGAGTTTCGAGGTTTTAAAGCGCTTTTATTTAAAAATTGCCAGTTTAAAAGGTCTGAGAGAGCAGGCTCTTGCACTGCACTTATGTTGTTGAAGGCTTGGATTTTGTTGTTGTTGTTGTTTAGTCGTTTAGTCATGTCAGACTCTTCATGACCCCCTGGACCAGAGCACGCCAGGCACTCCTGTCTTCCACTGCTTCCCGCAGTTTGGTCAAACTCATGCTGGTAGCTTCGAGAACACTGTCCAACCATCTCGTCCTCTGTCGTCCCCTTCTCCTTGTGCCCTCTATCTTTCCCAACATCAGGGTCTTTTCCAGGGAGTCTTCTCTTCTCCTGAGGTGGACAAAGTATTGGAGCCTCAGCTTCGCGATCTGTCCTTCCAGTGAGCACTCAGGGCTGATTTCCTTCAGAATGGATAGGTTTGATCTTCTTGCAGTCCATGGGATTCTCAAGAGTCTCCTCCAGCACCATAATTCAAAAGCATCAATTCTTCGGCGATCAGCCTTCTTTATGGTCCAGCTCTCACTTCCATACAGCACTACTGGGAAAACCATAGCTTTAACTATACGGACCTTTGTTGGCAAGGTGATGTCTCTGCTTTTTAAGATGCTGTCTAGGTTTGTCATTGCTTTTCTTCCAAGAAGCAGGCGTCTTTTAATTTCACGGCTGCTGTCACCATCTGCAGTGATCATGGAGCCCAAGAAAGTAAAATCTCTCACTGCCTCCCTTTCTTCCCCTTCTATTTTCCAGGAGGTGATGGGACCAGTGGCCACGATCTTAGTTTTTTTGATGTTGAGCTTCAGACCATATTTTGCACTCCCCTCTTTCACCCTCATTAAAAGGATCTTTAATTCCTCCTCACTTTCTGCCATCAATGTTGTGTCCTCTGCATATCTGAGGTTGTTGATATTTCTTCCCGCAATCTTAATTCCGGTTTGGGATTCATCCAGCCCAGCCTTTCGCATGATGAATTCTGCATATAGGTTAAATAAGCAGGGAGACAATATATACAGCCTTGTCGTACTCCTTTCCCAATTTTGATCCAATCAGTTGTTCCATATCCAGTTCTAACTGTAGCTTCTTGTCCCACATAGAGATTTCTAGAGATTTAACCCCGGCGCAATTTTTTATTTTTATTTTTTGCATTGTCCGCTTTCCCACGGTCCTTCCGCGCATCGCCTCCAAGCGCCCCCACGAGAGCGCACCAGAGCCGGAGCGCAGCAGGCGGGGACCAAAGACTTCCGCGTTTCCTCGTGATCACGAGGGTTTTAAAAGCTTGGCCGCCTCCTTCCCGGAAGGGAGCGAGGGAGAAGCCGCCTGGCGAGCCATGGAGCGGAGGGTCGGCCGAGCTCTTGTCCGGCCGCGGGTGCTGATCGTGGGCGCGGGGCTGGCCGGGCTGGGCGCGGCTCAGCGGCTCCTTCGCCGGGGCGGCCGGCATCTGGGCGGCGTGCGCGTCCTGGAGGCCACGGGCCGAGCCGGGGGCCGCATCCGCTCCGGGAAGCTCCGTAAGAGGCGGCTGGCCGGCGGGAAGCGGGGCCGGGGAGAGCGGGGCGGAGGGCGGGCGCAACCCTTCCGCATAACGCGAGGCGCGCCGGAGCGGACTTTGCGCCCCTTTGCGCTTTTCCCGAGAGAAAACCCAATCATAGAACAGTTGGAAGGGACCCTGAGGGTCACCTGGTCCAACCCCCTGCAATGCAGGAATATGCAGCTGGCCCATAAAAATATAAAAATGCAGGAATATGCTGCTGGCCCATATAGGGAGGGATCGAACCTGCAGCCTTGGTGTTTTCTAACCAACTGAGCGATGCTGAAACACGTGTCTCCACCCTCCTGGCTTCTTGTTGTTGTGTTTCCTCGTGGTTACTTTGGAGTGCTCCCCATCACACACACAGCCTCTAAAAAAATATTCTTTGGGGTCAGGGTCGGATTTCTACCTCCCTGAGTAGCCGAGAATATTCACATATGTTGGCATTCAAGAATGAAAAGGTTTACTTCTCCCATGGTTGATTTGAGGAAAGTGGCTGGAGCGGATGGGTTTCTCAGTTGCTTTTGCTCCCTGCTAGGGTTGCAACTGGTTAAATAAATCAACTAAAATATTTTCATTGGTACTGTGAATTAAGTGGGCAGCAAGGTTTCGTGTGTGTCCCCCCCCTTTCAGCAGTATCCTGGATTACAGTGGTACCTCGGGTTACATATGCTTCAGGTTACATACGCTTCAAGTTACAGACTCCGCTAACCCAGAAATAGTACCTTGGGTTAAGAACTTTGCTTCAGGATGAGAACAGAAATCGTGCTCCTGCAGCGCGGCGGCAGCGGGAGGCCCCATTAGCTAAAGTGGTGCTTCAGGTTAAGAACAGTTTCAGGTTAAGAACGGACCTCCGGAATGAATTAAGTACTTAACCCGAGTACCACTGTATATTCATTTGAAAATGCAATTGACTAATCGAGTGAATCAAATCATTGCGATCTAATCTGCGAAGATGTACTGGGTCACTGAGAACCCTCTTTCTTAGCCTGAGCATAGCTGCTGCTCTCATGCTTTTCTGGTTTCTTCACTTTCCCACCCACTTGTGTTCTTGCAAAACAACACCCCCCCCAGCACAGCCTTCATCCTCTGCAACTCCTCATCACCGTTGCCAGAGAAGGGAAGCCATGGGGGCATGCTTGGTCTCTGTTCTGCAGCCCCAGAAACGTGCTTTGGAGAGCAGCAGCAGGGCTGA